ATTAGCTGGTTCGCTTCTGGAAGGAGGATGATCAATTCATCTTTGTGCTGCCTAAAGGTTCAAACTTGCCTTCCTCCTTTGTGAGCATGGGGGTGGGGATGTGACCCTTCAGAAAGCACTTTCCTCACTTAAATCGCAGCCCTACTCAGCGCTGTGTACCTCTGCGCTGCCACCTCAGCTGCCACCAGCCACACGTGACCTTGCAATGTGCTGCAAGAGTACATGGACACACACTAGATTCTGAAGACTTGGTACAAAAGAAATGGAAAATATCTCCTTCATATTATATGAGAATTATGTGTTAGGTGATAGTGTTTTGGAGAACATAAAAATATTTCTGTTTTTAGATGTGGCTCCTGGAAAGTTTAAAATTTTAATGTGGCTCCTGGGTCGTTTGAACACTTAACAATAAAAGATCTAATAATAGATGCTTTGTCAAAGGGCAAGGTGTGACTAAGTGTCAGAGAAGTATAAATAAATGGTGGTTACTGCCACCTTTAGGAGGGGTGACTTACCTTCACGAGGGCCACTCAATTACCCATAAATAATGGAATTTTTCTGGTAATGTAGTAAACCTGTGTGTTCTTCTTTTATTTCTATGATTCATCTGCTGCACAGCTGCTATGAGAAGATGCCATTTGGCCTTACGGAGGGGAGAAGGTATTGGCAAAAACAGAAAGTGAATCTCGTAACTTTGCTAAAATGTCAGATAGGTAGCATAAATTCAGTAAATTTTGATATTTGTTGAATAAATGAAGACATGCCTACATGGCCCATGTTAATATTTCTATTGAATGGTGATTATTAATACAGATCACCTCATTTCAGTCTCAAGGAAACCATTTCGGGTGGGTGCAATTACTGCCATTTTTATAGACGGGGAAACTGAGGCTAATACAGGTTAAGTTCCTTTGAATAAAATCAAACCTAGAGACAGGATTCCTGACCCCACAGCCTGGCTGATTCCTTTCAGCTGCTCTACTGAAGAGAATAAATGAGTGACTTTGACCTCATGCTGGCCTGTCTTTGTGTGTCAGCTGATTCTGTACTAGACCTGGGACTTTGTCACTGTTGGCTAGAGTTTTGAGGGCCTTTCTTCTTTAGGATACCCCAAACTTTGCCATTATTTCCTGTTCAGGCCACATGTTAGGGAGATGGCACTAATAGCAGATAGATGGAGAACAGGGCTGGATTTCCAGAACCATGAGGTCTAGGCCTGTTTTTCTATGTGACCTTAGACAAGCCATCTTGGCTTCCTGTCTGTGGCACTTGTGTGTTCTGATGTATGTGCACAATTCCTTTGTCAGGATCAGTGTGGCTCCGATGTACTGGCTTACAGGTTCACCTGACCTTGGAGGTCTTCTCTTTTCCAAGAATGTTACTTAAAGGCCCAGAAATTCCAGCTGTGCCACTGAGTTCAAATCATCAAACTGCAACATGAGGAAGTTGGCTTGCAAAGGCCACTGTGTGTAATATATCATATATGTATTTACATGTCCATGTATGTGTATGTATTTATATCTGCACACTTAGCTAAAGTTCCATACATATACATGCTATACATATGTATAGATACATATGTATACAGTTCATACATATACATGCTTTTCTATATATATATATATACTATATGTGTATGAGACTTTAGCTAATTTTTTTCCCTATATGCCTCAAATATTTTTGGAATGTACAAGACGTTAGACAGAAGTAAATACATTTTTAGAAAGTATTAAAGGAGAAGTGAGGAGCTTTTAAACCACTCACTGCTCAGGGTTTTTTGTTTATTTGTTTATATATATATATATGCATGTATATATACAGTTTCTTCTCTGCTGTCTGTTGGTAATTCCCCTATAGGGAAAAAAAACCCCTCTGATGTGCACTGTACTAAGCAGGATGCTAATAACAGAGAAGGAAAAGCATCAATAGTTAGAAAATATGAATGTCAGATCTGGCCCCTGATTCTGTCCCTTAGGTGTTGAAGGATTGGGACGTGTGGTTTATTCCTGAGTCTGAACACGGAGCTATGGGATGGGTTCAGCAGCACTCATCACTAGTGTGGAGTAGATGCCGTCTCCTGCATTTCATCCCCTCACCCCCTGCACATGGGCACACACCCACGCGAGCGCATACACACATGCACAAACATACACAAGTATGCATATGCACGGGCTACACGCATACCCCAAACACGTAAGAGGCAAGCGCAGTGGGATCCATATATGGGCCAGCCCCACATTGAGAAGGAAATGAAATTTGACTGAAACATACTAAAACATTTATTGAGTAAGCAAACTTTCCATTTGATTGAAATCATTCAATCAGCGGAAAACTCTGGACCAACATCTTGCCTGGTCACCCCTCCTTAAACATTTCTTCTCTCTCTTTTTTCCCCCTAAATAGTGATGTCAACCGATCTTGCAAGTGTTCTGTGTTCAAGTGTTCTGTGATTCTCTAAACATTTTTCCAGTTTTTAATTGCTTTTTTAAGTTAATACAGTTTTTTTAATTTAAAAAAAATTTTTTTTAATTTATTTCTGAGAGAGAGAGAGAGAGAGAGAGAGCGTGAGCAGGGGAGGGTCAGAGAGAGAGGGAGACACAGAATCTGAGCAGTCTCCAGGCTCTGAGCTGTCAGCACAGAGCCCGACGCGGGGCTCAAACAAACGAACCGTGAGATCATGACCTGAGCCGAAGTCAGACGCTTAACCGACTGAGCCACCAGGTGCCCCTAAGTTAATACATTTTTTTAAATATTTTTATTTATTTCTAGGAGAGAGAGAGAGACAGCGTGAGCAGGGGAGGGTCAGAGAGAGAGGGAGACACAGACTCTGAAATAGGCTCCAGGCTCTGAGCTGGCAGTCAGCACAGAGCCCGACGCGGGGCTTGAACCCACGAACCTCGAGATCATGGCCTAAGCGAAAGTCGGACGCTTAACCGACTAAGCCACCCAGGTGCCCCTAATACACTTTAACATACATTTTACAAAGCAGTTAATACAGCTGATATCTGAGGGAGGTAGATCGATAGGTTTGATTATAAAAATGCAAGACCATAGAAATTCTTCATTTATCCATTCTGGACAAAGTTTTAAACTAATAAAGTGGATTTTAAACCTGGTGTAAAGATGACGATGGGCCCTTTTGATGGAGAACACTTTTATTGGCTCTACAGTCCCCATAGCCCCCAAGGCAGGCCTGTCACTAACCCTTTAACTGTGTTCAGACAGAGATGACTTAAAAGAGCTTCCAGTACCCTCTTTCTGGAAGATGGTCACACACCTCTTGACGGTTGCTGTTTATCAGCTCCCTGAAATGTGGACGTGAGTCCTCTGTCTTTGGGAACCCCTTGCCATCTCACCCAGCAGTGGCTGTGTGCTGTGGGACTTCAGTGCCTAAGTGTCATAAATCTCAGATAGGTAAACAGGAGAAGGTATAAAGGAGGCAGTTTGTGTAAAGAGTGCCCTGCGTTCAGAGTTTTGAATTGGGGCAATGAATTTTCCATTGGACTAAAATTTTGTGTCCTTGGGTAAGCCTCCTATCTGTACCTGTCGCTTCTTCCTACTTTGCAGTGTAGGGTCAGGTGAGCAGGCTGTAAAACTGATGAGCAGCACGGCTTTGCACACAGGAGGGAGTTTTGCTCTCTCTAGCCAGCTCACCTGTCTGTCCCTCTGGGCTCCCTTCAAACACTGCTTCTCCCATGAAGCCATCCCCAGTCATTTCAGGCAAAATGAACGAGCATGTGTCCACACAGTACCCTGTGAAAACTCTAATCAGAGCACACACGTCGCTGATGCCTGCAGTCAGGTCATGGCAATTAGCCTTTGCCAAATGCATGCTGCAATACCAACCACCCCAGAAGTCAGTGGCTTACGGTCACAATGATGCATTGTCACTCATGAGCCTGGATGGCTGTGCTGTACAGGTGGTCTGCCACACGTGTGGCTCATGATCCTCTAGGGCCCAGCAGCTGGCCGGGGCACATTCCTCTCATGCTCAGGGCAGAAGTGCAAGAGGCCAAGGGCAAACACAAAAACCTTCTCAAGGGCGAGGCTGGGGACTGACACATTGTCGTTTCCACTCAGAGGCCATTGGCCAAACCCAAATCAAATTGTTTGGGAGCACGCTCACCGCACGGTGAGGCCATAGAAAGAGCTGGGTGCAGGGAGGATGGGACTAATCGGGGTGCCTGGGTGGCTCCGTGGATTGAGCATCTGACTTCGGCTCAGGTCATGATCTTGCGGTTTGTGAGTCGGAGCTCTGTTTCAGTCTCACTGCTGTCAGCACAGAGCCTGCTTAGGCCTCTCTGTCTCTCTCTGACCTTCCCCTGCTCTCTCTCTCTCTTTCTCAAAAATAAACCTTAAAAAACAAAACAAAAAAAGAACTGAGGACCAATCATTTAGTCTTTCATACAGGTTCACCTGCCCTATTAGATCCCGAGCCCCTGGGGGTGGGGGGGGCAGGAACAATGTCTGCTTCTATATCACTGGCTCCACTGCCTGGGGCTAGCCAGTAGGAGGGATTTGCATTGATGTTTGCTGAGGTCCAAAAGACCTTTCCGGCCCTTTCCTTTACAGCAGAGGGTGGCAAACTTTGACTGCAGGGCCAAATCTGTCCGTTTCTGTGCAGAGAGCTGAACATACAAATTGTTGAAAAACTCCAAAGAAAAATGACGCATGAAAATGAGAGGACATTCAGAATTCAGTATCCATAAATAAAGTTTTATTGGAATGCAAACTGCACCCATTCCTCAGCATACTGCCAAAGGCCACTAGAACAAAAAGGCATACTTGGGGTTGTCATAGAGACGGTGTCCGAGGAAGCCTAAAACATTTCCTATCTGGCCCCTATACAGAAAGCTTTGCCACCCCCACCCCCTGCCTTACAGGATAAAGAAACAGAGGGAGCCCCAGGGAGGTGACTGCCCTGCCCCAGACGACAGCATCGGCAGATCTATATGGCCTGGGTGCATTTGGGGCTAATATGTTCCCCTTTTGTTTCCCAGTAATTGGCGGCCCGCGACACCCATGCGTCACTGACCAGGAGGCTCTCCCCGCGGCAGCGCTTCATGACCCAGCGGCGCCCGGCGCAGTGAAGCCACCATGGTGTCCAGCGTAGCCGCGCTGCTCCTGGGCGCGGTGCTGCTGGGCGCCCAGCTCCAGCTAGTGCCTTCCCGCCCCGGGGCCGAGCCCGGCCAGCCCGAGCTCCCGCGCAGGGCCGCCCCCCTCCAGGGCGACAGCCGGGCCGGCGCGGCCCCCAACGGCTCGGCGCAGCAGCTGCCGCAGACCATCATCATCGGCGTGCGCAAGGGCGGCACGCGCGCGCTGCTGGAGATGCTCAGCCTGCACCCCGACGTGGCGGCCGCCGAGAACGAGGTCCACTTCTTCGACTGGGAGGAGCACTACAGCCAAGGCCTGGGCTGGTACCTGGGCCAGATGCCCTTCTCGTCCCCGCACCAGCTCACGGTGGAGAAGACCCCCGCGTACTTCACGTCGCCCAAAGTGCCTGAGCGCGTCCACAGCATGAACCCGGGCATCCGGCTGCTGCTCATCCTGCGCGACCCGTCCGAGCGCGTGCTGTCCGACTACACCCAAGTGTTCTACAACCACGTGCAGAAGCGCAAGCCCTACCCGTCCATCGAGGAGTTCCTGGTGCGCGACGGCCGGCTCAACGTGGGCTACAAGGCGCTCAACCGCAGCCTCTACCACGTGCACCTGCACAACTGGCTGCGCTTCTTCCCGCTGCGCCGCATCCACATCGTCGACGGCGACCGCCTCATCAGGGACCCCTTCCCCGAGATCCAGAAGGTCGAGCGGTTCCTGAAGCTGTCGCCGCAGATCAACGCCTCGAACTTCTACTTTAACAAAACCAAGGGCTTTTACTGCCTGCGGGACAGCGGCCGGGACCGCTGTTTGCACGAGTCCAAAGGCCGGGCGCACCCCCAAGTGGACCCCAAACTCCTCAATAAACTGCACGAATATTTTCACGAGCCAAATAAGAAATTCTTCGAGCTGGTCGGCAGGACATTTGACTGGCACTGATTTGCAATAAGTTAGGCTCGGAAACTTTCCTGTTGTAAGTTCTGGTGTACATCTGGGGGAGAGAAAAAAAAAAAGAATTTTAAAAGGGCATTTAAGCTATAATTTATTTGTAAAATCCATAAATTACTTCTGTACAGTATTAGATTCACAATTGCCATATATACTAGCTATATTTTTCTACTTGGTAAATTGAGGGCATTTTGTATTGTTTTTCATGGTTGTTAACATTGTGTAATATGTCTCTATATGAAGGAACTAAACTATTTCACTGCAAAAAAGAAAAAAAAAACACAAAACCTGGAGACCCTGTCTTTATTGAATATACTTAACTTGCCCCGACTCAAAATAGCTGTCTGTGTTATATTCATTGCAGGAGCTATATAGTCCTTTGTTACTTTAAAAAGAAATGTTTTTCATGGCAATTCTGCTTCTCTCTCGCCCTCTCCTTTCTTCATTGTTCTTTTTAATTTTCAATGTCTCGCTGTGGTCATCAGATTTATTTTTTACTTGCATCGTGAGACTTGTCTTCACCGAGATCCCCTGTTATTCTCTAGACATTTCAGGCTCACACCTTCTTGACGTCAGCAGGTACTGGAGTGTGGATTTTAACCCCCTACTGTAGACTCCGCATGGACTAAGCAATATTAAGACTGGAGAAGTCGCTCGTACTCGCAAGAGGCTCCCCGTTACACATCTGTCTCAGAGAGTGCTTGCATCCATCCCTTTCTGATCTCAGCCATGGGCAAAACCGATACAATAAAGGGGATTAAACGTTTGACCTTCAGAATGGGCTTGGGGCTGTGTGCTTTGCCCCACGTGGAAGGGGTCTCCGGAAACTCACTTAGAAAAGAGAAGTTGCAAAGTGTGTGTGTTCCCATCTCGTAGATGTTGTGAAGAGTCTGCTTCATCTATTTCCTGAAAGATCAATATCCATATATAGATGCATATTCCGTATGCACGGAGACAGAAATATGTGTATGTTTTAAAACTCAACTCTGAATTTGTAGTCCTGAAGTGGAAGGGAGATTTAAATACCCAAGGGTCAACATTGCCCAATATAAAGGTGATGTGTAAGAAAGAAGCCCTTGAACCTGAACCTAGGCCTGATTTCACTTTCGCTTCTGCTTCTGAACAGCTCGCCTATTGGACCTGATCACACAAGCCCCCTGAGTCTCGGTTTTCTCATACGTTCTTTATTTAGTCAGCCTTTAACAGAATTAAGTACATGGCATGTTTTTTCTTATTAGGAAAGCAAAACATAACCATTATGTAAAACAAAAAACTACAAAGAAGCCAAATACATATACTCTTCTTGATAAAGTTTATATTTAAGGCAGCAGAGTGAAATGGGCATTATATATATATACATATATGTACTCCTTGAAATTTCTTCCCCAAACAACCCCAGGAAGTAGGATTATGATGGCGAAAAGTTCAAGGCAGAAGAAATAGGTCCAGAGAAGATAAGGAACTTGCCAAGGTCACATTGGCTCCAAGCCAAGGCTTGGAGTCCACTTACAGCCAAAGCACAGATTACGGGTGTTTTGGTTTTTTCCTTCTCTACTCTTTCCGAACTCAAAGGGAAGGCCCAGACTCAGAGACAGTTCTTCCTGACCTGACCTGACAGATTCCTTTCCTGGTGCCAAATGTCTTCCGCCTCAAGAGGTGTGTCTGAGCCAAAGGAAAGGGGCAAGAGACAGCCTGCACTTTTCTCAGCAGGGTTATCAGGGAAGTGAGTCACCTTGTTAGCTGTGGTTGCTGCAGCCTGGCCTGACCTTCGCATGGCCTTTGCCCCACCCCCGGCCCTGCAGGGAGGGCAGAGAGAGACCATCTTCCTCTTCAGAACCCATTAAGATTGTTCTGAAGCAACCAACTCCCCAGAGGGTGTGGCCAAAATATTTATAGGCGACTCGACTTGGCTTTGACACAGTACTATGCAATGGAAGAGTGCATCCCTCTACAGCAGGTTGCTATTATCACACCCGTTAAAAGCTGAAGAGTACAGGGGCGCCTGGAAGGCTCAGTCAGATGAGCTTCAGGTTTAGGCTCAGGTCATGATCTAACAGCTCGTGGGTTCGATCCCCGCACCTGGCTCTTTGCTAACAGCTCAGAGCCTGGAGCCTACTTCAGATTCTGTGTCTCCCTCTCTGCTCCTCTACTGCTTGTGCTTTCTCTCTCTTAAAAATAAAGACTAAAAAAAAAAAATTTTTTTAATCAATAGCTGAAGAGTAGAGAGGCTCAGAGAGGTTATAAGTTTGCAAGATTGCCCAGGAATTTGATGTGGAGACTCCAATGTGAGTTTTTGGATTTAAAAAAAAAATGTACATATACACATGGTTTTTTTTTTTTTTTTTTTTAGCAAAACACCTGTGGAAGCACGTACCCCAATGGGGATGGAATACTTGAAGCCATGCAGTGTTGGGGCCAGAGGTGGTGGGTGAGAATGGAGGAGGGAAGGACTGAGTGCTGGTGACATGATCTAGGGGCTGGGGCCGGCACAGTTCCTGGTAGAGGGTGGATATGTGGGTACAAATTCAATGATTGTTGATTTGGGGTGCGGGCTCTTGACTGTGCATGGGTGCGTGGTAGTCTACCACAGGCGAGGGGTCAGGGGTCCCAATGGTTTTCTGTTATTTCATTATGGCAGAACCCCAGCCAGTTGTTTGGAAAAGTACAAGGAGGAAGAAACTATCACTCCCATAGCCTGGGCGCTTCCTTCTCACCTGAGCATTCCCAGATTCAGAAAAGACCCCACAGGGGCACCTGGGTGGCTCAGTCGGTTAAGCGTCCGACTTCGGCTCAGGTCATGATCTCACAGTTCATGGGTTTGAGTCCCGCGTCAGGCTGTGTGCTGACAGCTAGTTCAGAGTCTGGAGCCTGTTTCGGAGTCTGTGTCTCCCTCTCTCTCTGACCCTCCCCTGCTCACGCTGTCTGTCTCTCTCAGAAATAAATAAAACGTAAAAAAAAAATTTTTTTTTAAAGAAAGAAAAGACCCCACAGTGGACCTACTCCTGCCGTCCTTGGGGCATAAATGCAAGACCCCAGGAACCAGATGGGCACCTGATCCAGGGGAGCCTCTAGGTGAGAACTTTCAGAGAAGCAGCTGAGAGCAGCTGAGCAGAACCTCAGCTATTGGCTTTGGAAAATCTGCTGCACTTGATTGTTCTGAGTCAGGACAGCCCCTGCCCCTCCCTTCCTCCAGGAATCAGATAGCACCGGAATCCCATGGACGCTATTTAGTTACGAGCTCACAGCCTAAAAATGTGCTAGTTTAACAAAAATGATGATGATGTGCCTCCGAGCACAGGGCGGCGTGCCCTCTGACTCCTGGGAAACTATTACTCCCCTAAAGGGAGATGTAAGTGAGTTCAGAGCCCAGGGTGTTCCAAGGTCACTGCCAAGAGTTCAGGTGTTCACTAAAATTCCATTTTTCTTTTGAGCCCTACTGTGTGCCTAGCATGGGATTAAGCCTCAGGAGTGTAACAGAAAGTGCAACAGGAAATAATTGTCATTAACTATTGTAGGTTTAAATAAAAAGCATGGAGGGACTAGGAAGGAAAGAGAATGACGCTTAGCTGTGTTTGGACTGGCCAGTGCAGTATGTTCTGTACTTTCTCCTATCATTCAGGAACATCCCTGGGAGGAATCAACAGGCCCCATTCTGGAGAGAAGGAGACAGAAGTAAGAAATGGACTGGCCCTCCTTGTTTGAAAAGTAAGGGAGGAATGTTTCTCACTCTGAGGGGATCGGGGGCCCAGAGATGGGGAATGTGGCATGGACAGTCATAAAAAGAAGGCAAGAGATAGCAGAGGTGTCTCTCAAGATGCTCAGGAGGAGGAAGAGAAGAAGGCTTTTCCCCCAAGGGCATGATCCCTTAACCCCTGGGCCACAGGACCCTGCTCTGCAATGGGAAAGCTTCTTGGAAGGATTCCCATGGAGCCAGAGCATGGAAGGCAATGGATGTAACCAAAGCAAGGTGTTCTGAACACGGGCAGCTTGAGGAATCCAGACAGCGGTGATGGGAGGAGAAAGGGAGAAGGGGAGGTGAGCAACAGACTTTAAATACATTGAGAACACCTTATGCGTCAGACACTTGTGCCTTGACATCTGTTTTCCAAGCGGTGGAAGCTTTCTTCACGCCCACCTGCATTATCTCTGTCTCCTGCACAGGTGTATCTGTCACGGAAAAATAACACTCATTTATTGCACACCCACTATGTGCTTGATATTTTAAATGTGTTGCTTCTAATCCACATAACAACTCCAAGAAGTAGGAAATACCATTGTACTATTTTTACAGAGGAGGACAACTCAAATTCAGACCTTAAGGGGCTTGCCCAGGATGCCAGGGCCATTCACTGATTGTTACAACTGGAACTTAGTCCCCAAGGTCCTCACTCTGCTTCTTTGTGGTCCATGAAATCTTGGGTGAAGGGAGGAAGAAGTAAGGCATAAACATCCATCTATTACACAGAGCAGAGCACGTAAGAGAAATGACGGGCACTCAGGATGTGAGGATGCACAGATCGGGTGATACCTGAAGGTCCTCAAACAAAAGAGTGGCTGGCTAGGGTGCCTGGGTGACTCACTAAGTTAAGCGTCTGACTCTCTTGATTTTGGCTCAGGTCATGATCCCGTGGTTTGTGAGTTGGCGTCCTGCATCGGGCTCTGCACTGTTAGCACAGATCCTCTGTTTCCCTCTCTCTCTGCCCCAGTTCACTTGCTCTGGTGCTCTCTCTCTCTCTCTCTCTCTCTCTCAAAATAAATAAACTTAAAAAGAAAAAAAAAAATAGAGTGGCTGGGGAGTTGATACAACAGGCCTGTGATAAAGCAGGCTCCTTCCCGCTAACAGCAAGGAGCCAGATGCGGGGGTCGAACTCATGAACCGTGAGATCATGACCTGAGCCGAAGTCGAATAGTCAACTAACTGTAAGCCACCCAGGTGTCCCCAAAACCACACTTTTGCTTAAGCTTCTTTCCTTCCCTTGTCCTGTGCCCCTCATTGCCATACCCGTTTCGTTCATAATCCCCATTCTCAGTCGGTGACTTGCCCCAGCGTACAGGAATTCCCATCCTCACACTTTGTTTTTAGGGCATCCAATCTAAGACAGTCAATTTGCAGAAATGTTTTATTCTCTCTGTACTTCATGTGGATAATATGACCAACCCACAGGATTATTATAATTCTTCCAATTAAACAACAGACAAGAGGGAATGAGTCAATTTTATTGGCTGATACATAAAATGCTGAATTTAATAGTAGATACAACTGTTACCAAGTAATAGTCTCTTTTTTTTTTCTTTTTGGCTTCTCAGGCTGTGAAAATAGTGTTAATGCATCAATATCAAACTTAAACACCACCTTCCTGAAAACCTCCTTGTTCTCACAGATATGAAGGGACAACTCCATCTTATTTATTGGGCATTGTATTTCTATTGTTCGTCAAATATTTCATTTGGAGCTAGAGCATTAATGTTTCTTCCTCTTGACTGTGACACACTTGTGCCAAGCACAATGCCTGGCACATGGTAGATAGGAAGGACTTGTATGTGGATTAAATTGTAAGTTGAGTCCAGGAGTCAGTCTGATGGGAAAACTCCCTGTACCACGTCCCAGCTTTGGGGTCTGGTTCACCTTCCTGGAACACCTTCTCTGGTACTTCACAATATACCATCTTAACATTTAATCCTTACAAATCTCTGGACCAATAATCAATCCAAGCTCCATGTTTTTGTGGACCATCATATCCCCAGCAAATAAGGCAATGCTTGACACAGGAGTTACACGTATTTACTCACTGAATGACTCACCGTGGTGCCCAGGCTCTTTCCACTATGCCATACTAATGTTGCACTAATGGAGAATCTAGTATTCTGTGAGGCAACCCCATACATCTCCAGTCTGCCTCTTAAAATTCACACTTCCTGTCCTAAACCTCTATTCCCTAGCTTCTTCCCGTGGATGTGAGTTCTACTACCGGGTGTCATGAAGAACAAGTTTCATACCACTTTCTCATGTCGGCATACTGGAAAGAACACCAAGCTTGGACTCTGGAGACCTGAACTTACCAGTTTGGCTCAGCCATTTCCATAGCTATGTGATGCTGGGAGACTTTCTTAACTTCTCTGAATTTGTGGTACCTATCTGTAGAATAGGATCAATGATGCCTTCTTTGCAGAGATTCTTGGAGTATTACATGATTAGTGGATGATGTGCAAATAAAAGAGATCATAAGTCTATAAA